GCATACGGAAAGGAGATAGCAAAGGATGTAGACAGCTATCTAAAGAGAGAATTTACTGAGATTAGCTTATGTAGGAGTTTTGCTATGTACTATAGTTGGCTTCTCTATACAATGTGAGATTAGCCTGTGTATGAGATCGTTGTATTTGGTTTTTGTCTTCACCATGTGGATTTTCCCAAGTATGAGATCAGCTATGTGATTTCTGACTTTGTGTTATGCAATCCTTGTGTTATGTAGCCGTGTGTGCGGGAATTCCCATGGGCTGATCAGGAAGTATGGTCTCAACTGCTGCAGACAGTGCTTCCGCAGCAACGCCAAGGAGATTGGATTCATCAAGGTAAATCCAATGTCTATTTATATAATTCTGATTTTCATTCGTTAGCATGATTATTCATTCTGTTCTGTTTTTTTTTTTGTGACTCTGCAGTACCGTTGATGAGGCACACAAACATGATGGTGTCCATGAATTGGCTTTGAAACTCTTTTAGTTTTTGATTGTAATGGAGACTCTTTTTAAGTTGTTGTACCCTCTCCAAAGACAGATAATTGCGTTTGTCTTAAAAGCTTCTTATGTCTTACTTGGAACAATGATGTTTTATTTATCCTCGTTATTTCTTTATCACAACTCCAGATTTATCAGATCTGCTTGTACAATGTATAGTGTATACATTGCAGAAACTGCAAAAGAAACGTACGCTTAATCTCACTTGGCAGCCTCTAATAATAAATCTGGGAGCAAGTTACTTGAGCCTATTCTTGGTCGAAGAATAGTCTTGTAGATTCCTTCATTGCTAGATGCAAATTCATCTCAAACATTTTACATAAAAAAAATATTAAAAATTTTCAATTTTATTGGGTTTTGATTTAATTTCTTACATAGATATGACTCGAAATCGATAAAATTTTATTACACTTTACTGTGAAGATATTAATTTAAGAGAAACGAATATGAATTCATAGAGGTTATAAATAATGTACTTGATTGCGTTTGGAAAATAAAAATATGGAGGAAGTGGTTGGATTGTAATGAGGAAAGATTAGTTTCCATTTTCCAAAGATAGACGATCATGCTCGCCTCTCATATACTCGTAATCTTTTTATTCACTTACTTTTTTCAACAAACAATTCTTTAATTAGTTTTATATACAGAACGAAGAATACACTCATACATACAGTCTTTGGAATTCCCTCTTACTATTCTTCTTCCTTGAACTGCACGATTTATTTTCTTGGGTCTGAGAATTCTTCGAAATCGGACTAATAATGGAAACTATCGTTAGAAGAGCAGAGGTTATCGATAGCAAGAGGTGCTCAAAGCTGCGCGAGGAATTCACGCCCTCTCGACGTGCCAATCTCTCGTCGGAGAAACGTGGTGGGCAATACACTCCTCTTTTGCATTCTCTCTGTACCCATTTGGTTCTTCAGATATCCTTCCTTCCTTCCCATTTATCAACACTATGGATTTTCTTTTCAAATCTCAAAATTAACTAGTAGGTACTCAAGGAAGGATTTCTGGTTCTGTAGCATTGTGTTATTTCTTATCAGCTACTATTGGATGATATAAAGTTCGGTTCAATGTATATATCGGTTCAGATTAGAGTTGGTTTAGTATAGAGATTGGTTTATCATTCATTACGGTATATAACGGTCAATTGTACAGCTTTATCAATAATGAGAAATATCTTCTTTCATACAAACTTTCTCTCTCTAGTTTGATCTTCATTTCTCATCGCTAATA